GGTATCATTTATCTCTAGAATTCAGAGCTAGACTGGCTCTGCACAGGGAGGCTCTGTTTCATGTAACAAGAAGCATCTCCATCGCGGTTTTGTTTTTTAACAAAAAAAGGAAACCTGAAGCTAGTTCCATCACCGCATTTGAGGGGAAAGAGTTATGCAAGTCATTTACTGATTTTTTAACAATTATTTTAGCCTCCTTTTCTGCTGAAAAATCCCTCCAAATGGCTAAGGGAAATGACTGAAAAGCAAGAGTATTTCTTTAAATACAGTATCCACCGAAGGAAAGTACTTAAAAAACTCCAAATATCCTTGGTATGGGTGGGTGGGGCCTCCCTTCGCCTGAGCAGGGAAATGCAAGAAGCAGGCCAGGCCGTCAGCCCTGGACACACGAATGGGCCGGAGCCAATTTTTAAGGCCGTTGCCTGGCTTGCCCACCTTGTCATGTTCAAAGAGCTGCAGGAGGAAAGTGGCCACGGTGGCTGTGATGCCAATGAAGAGGTTGATGACGATGAGGAAGACGTATGCCGAGCTGGGCACGTCGAACCAGAAAGAAGCTGGGTACATGATGGGCGTCATGGACCACCTGGAGGAAGGGTGGAGGTTGGGGACAAACGCACCAGGCTCCAGCCGGAAGATGCAGAAGCCCCCCGAGCCCCAGGAGATCCGGTCAAGTTCTGAAGAGAAGAGCTTCCCGTCCCAGCTCCTTCCCCCAGAAGCTGGAGTTCAGAGGTAGACTGCCTCTGAAAGTGGAGGCTTCATTCCTAACCCTTATGGTGGCCTCAAGGGCAGACCCACTGGCTTCCCCTTGTCTCAACACCCTCCACGAGACACCGCAATGTACCCGTAGAGCAGGAAGAGGGCGACCACCGCGGGGAAGTTGGTGGGAGAGGTGTAAGCCGGCAGGTCGAAGACGAACAGGATAATGATGCAGCAGGTGGCTGGCACCAGATAGTTGAGCTGGGAGGAAGAAGCAGGAGGCGGAAGGGAAGCCTCAGCATGCCGTTGCTCCTGGCCCCCCGAAAGCCGTGCGCCCCTCCACCCCCCAACGTGCCACCGGAGGGTCCCAGCCAGCCCACACGGGCAAACAGCCGCCCCCTCCCCAGCCTACCATGTCCCAGACGTAGTTGGCCAGCCAGTAGATGACGGGGTCGCAGCCGCTGACAAACTGGAGGTGTTTGGCTTTGGTGGACTTCTCGGCCACCAGGAAGACAACGAAGCTGGCCGGCACGAAGGACATGGCCACGATAATGAAGATGGCGATGACCACGTCAGTGCCCTGGAGGCTGAGCAGAGGAGAAGAAGTTGGCGCGGCCCCTCTGCTCCATGGCCCTGCTCCCCTTGGTCTG